TCAGATCTTTTAATGTTGACTCATGTGTCGAGTCACGTGATAATTCGTTAGGGCATTGGCCATCTTGGCGCCTGACTCTTTCATACTGTTGTACTTCGAAACAAACCTAACCTAATAATGATGATGATGATGATGATAATAATAATAATAATAATAATAATAATAATAATAACAATAATAATAATAGGAATAATAATAATAATCATAATGATAAATTATTATATTTATTATAATATTTTATATTAGGTTTATTTGATATGGTATATTGTTTTATGATAATGATGATATTCTGAAGATGACAACGATGACAACCATGATAGCAAACTGATTTAAGATGATAATGACGAGACTATCGGTTTATGACGAGATGATGATGACGATGTGGTTGTGGAGATGATGGTGAGTGATAAAAAACAACAATATAATAAAAAGAAAATGAAGATAAACGTATATAATGATACAAAATTATGAAAAAATCATAGGAAAAGCCTCGATGTCGTCATAGAAAGAGCAAAATGGATGGCGTTAGAAAATTACGACTTCCGAGATCGTGAATTTATTATACAGTACTTTTTAAAGGTGTAAAATCATATCGAAAGTTGTGACACCGTACTACATCAGTTTACCATACAAATTGTAAACCTTGCTAAATAAACATTTTGGCCCCTCACTGTCCCCAGAGAACTATAACTAGAATCGGTTTAGTTGAAGTCAATAATTTACAGTTCATCATTAAATAGCAAGCCATGGCTTTACACTTGTGAGTGCATCTCGTGATTTTTCATTAACACCACAAGCGCATTAATTCCAACCCAAGAGGTTATCATGGTTTTGTTACGTATTCGATCAAAATACACAACAAAATGTTATACTTGATATACAGTACATAAGCCTAGTGAGCGAGTTGCAGAAATATAAAACTACTAATTTAATAATGAGTCGGAAGCTGAGAGATATTGCTTGCTATCGTTTTATACAATATCTCTAAACTACACTCGGTTAAATACCGTATTAGTAAACACATTATGGGACCCGAAAGTTTTGATTATGCGACATGCGAATATTACTGTATGACCACGCGACGTAACATAATAATTGATGGCTATTTGCGACTCATCATTGGGCATTGCTATAACTACATACAGAGTACATGTCGACAATTTATCGTTTGTTTTGAATCATAACTGCATATCCGTTTTATTTCCGGTTATGTTTGTTGACTGAGCACAAAACTCGAAATATGCCTATATTATAGCTTTATAAAAGTGATATTATTACTGACTGTAGCCACAGCTCTCACCTTGGGGGGCAATCATCTAAAAAAAAATCTCAATTTTCCCCACATTATCTGAGTAATTTAACTTAACTAACTTTATTCACCTCCCATAGGAGAAAAACGTTCAAATGTACAATAAAAACAGATTCAATAAAATGAAGATATCATACAGTACACAAATGTAACAAATTAATTTTAAAACTATATAGTCCATTCAGAAAGGTTGTTTGTTTGTTTGTTTGTTTGTTTGTTTATTGTTCATTTTCCACACAATACAACATAATCATGATAAAGCCAATAAATACGTCGTAATGTAATACATAAAAGTAAATTATTTGTGTGGAAGGCGACCAAAATAAGTTCGAGAACTTTAAGTCATGGTCGCCTAAAAATCAGATGGACAAAGTAATTTATAAGTAAATGTGAAAAAGAAAACCGGGCAAACACAAAATAAAAATTAGGGAAAAATTAGAAACAATCTAAACAAGCAAAAATTATTTAAGAAGTCGAAGGAAACAGAAAATCCAGATATGAAAGTGTAACTAATAGTATAGCTAATGATTGCTGAACTACTGTTCGCCATATACCCTGTCTCTTATACACATCTAGATGTGTATAAGAGACAGCAATGTTAGTGATTATATTTAGGTGTGGTTTCCAAGTTAAATTAGAATCAATAGTGACACCAAGGAATTTAGTTTCGTTGACTCGAGAAATCAGACGATTATCAATATATAGATTACCAAACGGTACGTTTTCATTTTTTACATTAAATACAATATAATTCGATTTAGTGATATTTAATGATAATTTATTAAGCTTAAACCAATTTGAAACTTTAATCATCTCAGAATTTAAAGTTGTGAACAAGTTTTGTCTATCTTTATGAGAAAAGAAAATATTTGTGTCATCGGCAAACAAAACAAATTGGAAAAGTTTGGAGGAATTTGAAATATCATTAACATAAATTAAAAATAACAAAGGACCTAAAATGGAGCCCTGGGGAACACCACATTTAATGTGAGAAATATTAGATTTTGTTGAGTTAATGGAGGTAAATTGTCGTCTATCGGTAAGGTAATTCTTAATGAACTGAAGAGGTTGTAACAAATTAAGAACTAAAATGGCAAATTTAACACTCACAAAAACCATGGTTAACACAATCATACTTGCAAGACTAAAACATTTTGACGATATATTGTTAAAAATTATATTAAAAATAGAAAAATCATTGCTTGTAATGTTATCAATTAAGGTGTTCTTAACATGCACTTTGTTTACTATTCAGTAAATGTGAATAATGTTGTATATTGTAATATGTACAGGGTTTCTTTTCTACCTATATTGGTGGTTTAAATGCACTAAGATCTATATGACTTTAGGGCTATGTTTGTACAGCATTACACCGGACCTATAATTCGCTTAAACTCACTACGATATTCTCTAAGATATAACTTTACCTATTAATTAATAACAACTAGTTAGTAAATCGAACCATACACGATAGTAGCGGTCAACCAAATAATCTCAAAAGCAGACGATATATAGAAACGCGCACTTACTCTCATCAAAGTAATGTATACCTGAAAAAAAAAAAAACCCACACCACACAATTCATCAGATTTTAGCCTAATGTTTATAAAAATGTTCTCTTACATCGTTCGTCCGTAGGCCCATGGTTAAACCATCTGTAAATTAACGAAAATTAGATTCGGATCTGTCACTATAGGACAAGATGGTAACTTATAATTATTTACAGTTAATTTTTCATTCCTGATGATGACATAATTAATGTCGAAATATTGAATCCCGACACAATGGCGTGCATTTCGATACAGTACTTGGAGTATGTATTATACGATCTTATCTGAAATTAATCAGTGGACTTCGGTAATAATTTTAAACAAATAAATACTTTATATTCTACTAGAATATTGTCTACTGTACTTCTTTAGGTAGGCCTAGGCTAAATTAATAATTGTATGCATGACGGTAGTGAGTGCTAATCAATAATTTAATATGTTTATATGATTGGATCATACCTCCATCAAACCTCTAAAAGATTGGAATGGTTTACTCGTGACTGCCGGCACCATCCGGGTACGGTACCATAATTCGTTGATGATCGCTTGATCCCGAGTATTTTCTTTATGATTACATTTTGGAACTTTTTGCGTGAGAAATACATTTAAAAGTAATCTTGGCAAGCAGAATGAAGAATGATGGACGTTTCAGCTTATATACCTAGTCCGTTACTGTATAAGAGGTGCCTCTCGAGGTAATAACCTTTTTTTGCTGTCAGGCGTATGATAGACAAATTAATGGTTACAACATCAGAGTTAGCATGATTATTTTAATTATCGACGCCAAGCACATGCTACAGCATTGAATACTCTGTCGTTCGCCCATGAGAAAGACGATTTAAACTTCGACAGCTGCTAGCCTATGACAGAATAATGAGAAGACGAGGTATAAAATACCCAAATGCATGGGTTTTAACGAACTAATATTAGAAAGATAAAGGACGGCGACTGCTTTTTGAAAGCAATCTTAAAGATGATAGAAGCCTCGTACTATCCAGTCCGAAATATAAACAATTTAAAAAAAGTAAATAATATAAATTTTAAATCTGGAACTCCTTGTAAATTAGAACCGAAGACTACTATTGTATATAAATTGTGTACAATAAAGAAGAGGATCTGCGAGTGTAACCCAATGTTGCACTTGATCAGTCAGATGGTAGGCCTCTATGTTACCGGTACGGAGGCATAAATATATGATCCAATAAAGTATTTTTGCTTGATATATCTACTGGCTTTATTCTAAAGAAAAATATGAATGAATTTAGACAATGTATGTTTATGAATTTATTACGAGCGAACTCCTATTTATATTCGTTAGAGTATAAACTTTTTGATTTATTTATAGTGAACTAATATAAGCATATCCATTTACTAATTGAACTTATTCATTTTATTATATTATAGTAAATTAAAGTACAGTCATGCTTATTCACTCATTAAAACTCATCTTTATAAATTATCTAAAAATAACTCAATCGTTTTTTATTTTATAAATTGAACTTATCTGCATTAATAAATTTGTTTTCGAGATTAGTGTCTACATTAAATTTTTACATCTATGTGCTCTTAGTTATTATTAATGCCATTTTCTGCACGACCAAAACTCAAGTAGAAAAATCTATTTTAATCAATTTGTCTTTAGATTACTTATTGTTAGGCAATAATTCTGATGCAAGTTTAGCATTTAATCGACCAAAAAAAAAATAATCGAAGTTTAGTTAGTTCTTCATAGGGAGCTTTCGATTGGACGACGACGGTAGTCTGTTTTAACACTGTTGTTTTGTGGGACCTTTTGTGCAACAATATCCTAGGGGCGGGGCTTAGCGGAAATCGCAACGTTTTCGCATGCGCAGATTGACTTCTTAGTGACGTCATAACGTTCTACGTCCAACATGGAGGCTATTCCTGGCTCTGTTCTGATTGGTCAGTTGTGATTGACACTCCGGATAGGTCCATTTGGACCGAATCTACGTTATGCAGAAAACGTAGTAGAACGGTCACGGATGAGTGAATCCGTTCTGGCGTTACGTCATCGCGCAAATCGAAGCTCCCTACTAACGTCACACTCCCGCCACCCGAGAGACCAACCAATTATGGCATATGAGTGACAACAGATCAGGAAAATAAAATCAAAACACCGATTCATTAAAACACAAATGAGAGTTTTATTTATAACAAGTCAAAATACATATAATCCTTACAGATTTGATTGCACAAATTCATCACAACATAAAGATATCAATGATTAATTTAAAAATTAGTCATAAAGGTAAACTAATTGCTTGCGATGAGTCTTCAAGTAAAGCAAGCAATTAGTCTGAACACTTGTGTAGTCTACAATCACTTGATGACGTATCTAAAAGCATCAAAAGACATAACAAATCAATGACTGTGTCTGTAATTTCAATGACCTAAGATGTTGATGTCTTTAAAGTGAATTTCAAAGGACCTGATGATATGACTAATTTTTTTTTCCATACTTCAATTATATATTATATATACGGAGTTGACTAACCGGAATTGGACATATGGTATTTCCACTTTTTGATCTATTTGACTATTTTATAAATTTTAATACTGTAAAAGTAATCCAGACTATGTTAATGCCATTTTTGATTTTGAATAAATTTAAAAAAAAAAAAAAAAAAATTGCGAGATGGCCATCTTACAGTTACATTGTACATTATGTTTTTATGCAGATGGAAATGAAAAAAAAAAAGTTTGCCCTAAGCATTTTATTGAGATGTATATCTGTATTATTCAAATACTATGCATCATTATTATCATCATTATTATCATAATATACTACAGTATAATATTATAATATTAATGTAAAACATTTATTTATCATCATCATTGTTATTAAATATAATTTTATTAATATTACTATAAAAAACCAAATGAATACAATTTAAAAAGTATCAGTTCTAAAATTAATTTAAATTTTTTAAGGCAGAATGATAATAATTACATTGTTGTTATATAGTACTTATATAGTTGTTATATTTATCATCCTCACACCTACAGTACAATATTTTTGTTTGTATCTGAATTTGTGTGGAAGATACATATCATCACCAATACAAATTTTAATATTCACCAAGTGCACTTTATGAATAAATTATTTTTGTGCAAGGAATATTTGAATAATAATTAATAGCTAATTTGTTAATTTCCACAGTAAGTACCACAATAGCAATAAAATAGTAAATTCTGTTTTGAGAACAATGTTATGCTTGTATAAGAATGGCGATATTTCAACCCATTCTTATTGCTCAGTTTTTAACATAGCCTTCAACACAAATATCGCCTTTTCCTCATTTTACATAAACTTCTCGTTAACTGGTCTTCCCATCAGAACCACATCACCTCGTTTCCCTTCATCAAGCCCTAGATGACCGAACAGGTGATCTGTCATCACCAGACCATATTATGATCACCGAAACCAGACGCACAGAGTGGAAGTGACTCACTTCACTGCATCTCTGTAGTTGTCAATGATACACTGCACTGTGTCATAGGCTTCAGTGAAATCGTCCTAGGAGAGGAAAAAAATCAAGTTGGGGGCGCTCTAATGACTGGTTTTAAAATTTTATTATTCTTTTCACTAAATTAATGATTGTTGTCGTTAAAACATCATTTTCAGTGGCTAGCATAATTAATTTGATCTTTAAATTCATTACCAGCCAATTTAATAATAAAAAAAAACCAGAGAAATGGTATTTTATTGCGTCTGTTATTCAGCAATAAAATATTTTATAATTCTAATTTTCAATTAAAAGTTTAATAACATGCTTCACTAAATTAATGATTGTTGTCGTTAAAACATCATTTTCAGTGGCTAGCATAATTAATTTGATCTTTAAATTCATTACCAGCCAATTTAATAATTAAAAAAAAAAACCAAAGAAATGGTATTTTATTGCGTCTGTTATTCAGCAATAAAATATTTTATAATTCTAATTTTCAATTAAAAGTTTAATAACAAGCTTAATGTAATAAAGCCTAAAAATAAACAATTAAATGTTAACTACAATTTTTCTAATCTCTTCAACTACATCACTGGTGCATATAAGACATCAGTTAGCACAACAGGGACCATAATTATCATATCATACATAGAATCATTACATACAAATAATAAGCCTAAAAATAAGCTATTAATATATTAACTATAATTGCTTCTAGTCTCTTCGACTACTTTGCATATAGGACATCAATTAGCTCAGCATATACCATAATTATTATACAATAATACAGTAATTAAATTCATTACATAATAATTTATTCATTTATTCAACTATATATTAAGTGGGTAGCCCTTTCAGCATGATATGAAGGGTTCAACAACATGTTTAATAACAAGCTTAATGTAAGCATAAAACATAAGCAATTAAAACATAATTATAATTGTTTCTAGTCTCTTCAACTACTTAGCATATAAGACACCAATTAGCTGGGCACACACCATAATTATCATATCATAATTAGAATCATTACATAAAAAATTATATTTATTCATTTATTCAACTATATTTTTAAAAGTAGGTAGCACTTCCAGCACATGGCTGATATGAAGGGGACCACACATAAATCATAAATACTAACCAATGCTTTTTTAAAATGTAACCATCCCAGTCTCGCCATTCTTATTGGCCGAGACATGGCTAATTTGTTATCAACACATTTATACATATAGTACAGGTGATGCGCGATAAATAAGTGACATACCTGTTCACACCCATGGTTCAGGTAAAGGTGTAAATAGGCACCTGCCTCAAGCATTCTACGGGTCTTTCCCAGCACGTTGTCTGCGTACTCGACTACACTGCTTGAGTTGGCACAGATGGTAAGAGAGGCAGCTCCAGTTCTGCCCTGGATTATGTTGTCTTTACCTGAGCAGTAGAAAGTAGGTCATAATAAAGTGAAGGGAACCTAGATGGTAACATTTGAGAAAGTAATTACTGATAATAAACCAATTATCGAGTAGATTTGGTGAGGCAATGAACAAAAATGTTATGATTAAATACAGAGGATTAATGGGGATAAAAGTAAAAGAAATACACGATGGTCCTGATAGTGATTTTGAAGATTTCTTAGATGATGATGGATTATTTTTCCACTTTGGGTCCTCTTTCCAAAGTCCTTTTATTAACCCACAAAATGTTTATGTTACAAAATAATATTAGTTAATATATACTTACAAAAATATTGCACTGAGATACACTGACATTTTATTTAATGCGCAAATAATTTCATTAATTTAACTTACTTAGTCTTCAAAAAAACATTCAAGGACATGAGAATATACATACAAATAAACAGAAAATAAACAATTGTTAACAACCCGACGGGATAACCAAAAAGCGAAACAAACTACTGTCGAGTAGTTCTCCAACGTTGAAAACAATACATGTAAACACTTAAAAATATATGTATAATATAGTATATATCAATTAAAATTAAATACCCTTAATATGTAAAATGAAAGATTTAAAAACAAAATTAGGAATGAAACATTTTAACTGGTTTCTATTATACTCTATATAATATTAGTTTCATTTTTATAAACAGTATTTTGATAGTTTGATATTGATAAGAATGAAAGCAATGAAAAGGCAATTATAATTTACTGTATCATTTTTATTTATGTATTATATATATACTTTGCTTACAAAATAAAAGCAATTGAACTGAATAATGCCATTTTTTGCTTTGACATTGATTTAATAAAAACAATAACAAGGAAATTATAATTCATAATTATATTTATGTATTGTATACGTACTTGCTGCTCAATCATAATGATTTCAAAATATTTAATTGTAGATTAACTTACTTATCCAGAAATCAACCGGAAATGGGTTCCATCTCACACAGTTATAGGCTGCTTTGATTTTGTTCTCAATGCTTTTTGAAGTCTTGGAGAAAGAGGACATCTTATCCCCACGAGCAACTGCAAGATTGGCCAACGAAGAGAACTTGACATAGATAAGGAAATATACCCAAAAAAAAGTAACAAAAAAAAAAGCGTATCTTTCATTTTCAAACAGTTGTTCCAATTATCTCTAGATTGTTTTTTAATAATCATGCAAGAAAAATTCCCCATCGTTGATAACCTACATAAATGGATGAGAGCTTCTCTTGGCTCAAAATATATTCTATATTCCAAAAAATTTATTCCTCACAAATGCAAGACTTAAACTTAATACTACTCAATTGTCTTATTATGCATACAGCAAGAGATGAAACTTAATACTTTAAAGCCAAAAAAATTAAAAATAGAAGGATACAAAATAAACAGAATTTTGTAATTTCTACAGAGACATATAGCTCACTCAGCATGTTAACTATTGGCATAAACTGGTATAAATGTAAGTATTACAGCCTCACACAAAACATAATTAAGTCTTCAGGGGCAAATCGATCGAGACAACACTCATCTAGAGGATCCGGGGAAATTCCCCACAGCTTTTTGATTTCTAGACGCCTGAAAATAACCTCCGAGGCATTTTGGGCAAACAAATATTTCTTTTTTTTTTCTTTGTAAATTTTTTTGTCAGCTTTCCAAAAGGGGGCTGCAGCCTACCTGGCCCCGTCTAAATCCACACCTGTATGTTGCTATGGTTCAGAATACTTACCTTTTCATGGATTAATGTGTGTTTGCATATGTTATTGCATTTATGACAGATTTTGATCCACTACAGAATGTTTCATAAACAAATAACTGTTGATTGCAGGGAAGTGACATTGTTTTTAATATTGTAACAAGCTAATTAAATTGTCATAATTTTTATTAATTAAGCGCTGCACGGATTTGAAATTAATCACTTAATCCCTCAATGAACAGGAGAGTTTTTTGGGTTAAGAAGAATGCCTTCGAATCACAGGGTCAAGGGTTCAATTCCTGTCAAAGCTACACAAATTTTTGTTGTGACCAAAAATGACTTCACTCACTAAGCCTCGAGCCTCATAATCAGACTTAAGTCCTGTCCAGACTATCAAATTTTATTTGAACAAAAATATGTGACATGCCTAAATATGGTCATGACATCACATCATGACCATATATAGGCACATCATGACTATATATGGGTATACAACAGCTTTTTGTCGAAGAAGAAAGAGAATATGATAATCTGGGCTTATCGGCACTTAATCTCTTAAAAGAACTAAAGTACAAAAAAAAAAAATCATTCATGTACTGAAATTAAATAAGAAGAGTGTCAACATGTAGAAATGGCAATTTTAAGTCACACTTGTTTGGAAATGGAATGGAAATATGACAGAGAATACTTGCAAAATCTATGCTAGAGGGCAATAATCAGAAGGAAAGTGACAGACATATTATTGCTTTAATAAAAGAGCTTAGGATTTATAGCGGTGGTTTAGATGTCATCGCTTAGCAGATATCACTCATTTAAATGGCAGACTTTAGTTGAAAATTCTAGATGTAATAGCAAGATATGTAATTGGAATGTTTTGTTGAAAGTGCAAAATTGTAAATAATAATCTATTAAAAATTCAACACTAATTGTTTAACTTCTTGGGATTAGCATTGTGATTGTTGAGTAAAAATGGAATTAATTCATGTATCATTCATTTTGATATAGGCCTATTTTAAAATATAATCAAATTTTTAAATAAATTTTCATGTAGTCAGTATGTTTAAAATATCATAACAGATGGAAAATGTCTGGGGACATATTTAAATTAATTTTAGGATGTTTATGCGACGACCCTGAAGATAAAATTTGGGTTAAATGTTATTTCATTCAAACGAGTTAATATGGATTACAGAAAAATTATTTAAATATACTGTATATGGTTTATAATATTGTATTCTGAACAAGAAACCTTCCCTTGACTCATATTAGTAATATTTTAATTTGTGAAAAAAGTTAAAATGAATAAATATGAATCGATTATAGATGGCATGCTGTAACAATATGCAAATAATTGAATGTTACTGAACTCCAGGAATAATCGTTACGATTGAATGTGTTACTAATAATAACAAGAGTAGACACCCGAGGTCGCAAAATGACAAAACTGAATTTTACATTATGATCTGCTTCAGTTGGGAGATTTGCGAGAGTGGACCCATGTATAAAGATAATATTATAAACACAATAACGTACATGTGAGAATAGACTGCTTGGCTCGATATGATATGGTTCTCATAAAATTTGGAATATTTTTCTTTACATAAATTACTGACTTGCCTAAGGGCTTACTTGTGTAATTAGTACAAGTCGTCATTTTGTGAATCATGTTTCGTTACTATTAGTCCAGATACATAAGAGACTGCCAAAAAAAAACACATTGCTAATTGACCTAATTTGTTTTCTCTGATACAGGTTTGTGACATGAGTACCTGGAATAACACATTCAAATGCAACCATATAAAGTAATACTTTTACAATGTAAAGTAAGAATGCAGGGCCTTTGTTTAATTATCACTTAAGCCGGACACTCAACGCATCCAACAGTTGTTGCTCGACGCGATTCTATGGAGAAAGCAACGCCACGATGCATGCAACAGATCGTTTTTAATGACGGTAAATTCAGACGGACACCGAAAATCATTCATTATTACATATATGCATTAGGAAAAGGATTGGATTAAAAATATAGAGCTATGACTTTATAAAATTTAAAAAGGATACAGCTCGTCCGTCTTTATCATATCGTCTGAGTTTCCTCAAGAGGGTGCTGGTTATTACCTCCCACGATGACTTGCTGCAAAAAAAATAAATCATCTTTTAACTATCCCAGTGTCAAAAACCATAAAGTTATGAATGATTACTAATGTTTATAAAGATTAGGAATGATTTTAATGCACAAAATTTTAATATTCTAGGAAACAATTTGTAAGTTGGTCAGACAGAAATCCTGTCTGATCGTTCTTGGTAAAGTTTAATAGTATTGAGAAAATTTTAAGTACTAAATCCCGGGACTCAAGAAAAGCGACAAGCCTCCGTATTAAAAAAAAAATGCTCCGAATTGAACTCATGAGTCAGGAATTGAAATCAGAAATCCATGAGTATGCTGACTGTAGTACTTTAAGATGCTCTCTTTCCAATCCCAAGGTTCTGCGTTTAATCCTTGCAACAATTTTAGGATTTTTCTCACAACACCACTCCCTATGCTTTATAAAGAGGCTTAGATTATTATAGTATAAAAGGTCCCAATTGATCATTTCACTGGATGAATTTCCTGTATATCTGCGGAATATACTTATTTTTTATTTTTGTTCTCATAACCAAAAATACTCTGTCATAACCTAATAATACACATTATTCACATATGTTCGGTTATTTATAGATCCTTTTATAATCCTAAGGTTGAACTTTAAAGACCAAGTCAATGTGTTTGCAATGTTATTATCTCTGGTCACTGGATATATTCACAAATGCTCAACATTCTCTAGTCCCTGGAGAGCATTCTGAGTCAAGCTGAGTGCCTGAGTATAATGCTAGCAACACATTTAATGCTACAACAGCTTACCAGGTACCCATTTATAATCTAAAGTTCAAGGTCAGGTTTGATAATATAAGAAAAAATAAAATTTTTCCCAAAAATTTATAAAAAAAATAGATTATCAATAATACTAGTGCTCGAATAGGAACATATGACGCCATAATCGTACCAAGCATAGCCCTCCAACGAAAAGTTCCTTTTTCAGTTGTATGAGAAAAAGTTTCTCTGGTGGGATTTGAACCTGCAGCCTCTTGCTGACAAGGCGAGTGTTGTGCCGTTAGACCACAAAGACCTATAGGGTATATGCGCAATTCTAACCTCCAGGCACTTTCTGTCATAACACAACTGACTTACACACTCACACATAGTGGAGCCATGTATAAGCAAGTAAATAATTTAGGTCGCAGCTAGAAAGTTTAACACAACAATGTTATATTGTAAAAGTCAAATATATATTATTTTAGTGGAAAATTAATCAGAACAAGAATTTTGAATCAATTGTATTAAAATCTTTTAATACTGTATTTTAAATGTCCTTTTTTAAAATTATTACATATTAAACTTTAAATGTTTTATCTACAATTTTTCAAAATGTTATTCAATGCATTTGTCTAATTGTGAAAGGTACTCAATTGACAGTTATTTAGGATACTTTTAGGAGCGTTCTTGTTCTAATGCGCTTGTTTCTTGTTGTTTTGTTTTTGTAAGTATTAATGTTATGAGACAAATAAATGAAATGGTTCAAAAGAACTGCAAATGGAAATGTAATCAATATTGAGAGATTGGAGTTGAGTTTGTAAATTTACAATTACATGTTTTTGCCTTACTAACCTCTGTTTGTAAATGAATTGTTTATTTGTATATTACTTATCAAGTGGAACAAATAAAGAAATGAAATGAAATTTAAATTTACAATTACAAACAAAAAATAAGTAGAACACCGTAGGACTGAGCTATACAAATGTTTATCCTTTGTACTCTTTGTTGCATTATCTAAGTGCACATGGCAGAAATTAAATGATGTATTATGTCAATCCATCTTCTAAATTAAGAGAATGATTCTGCCAGTGTACGAAACTATTTAGAGAGTGGTTGGAGAGAGACAAACATAGATTGAACGCCTTGCCGAAGGTCACAAGCGAATCAGCGAATTCAAGCATTCTATCTCAAGGTTTCGACCCCAAAACCACGCAAACAACTCCGGCATAGATTTTATTAGGTACGCTTTCGCTAAGCCCGATATTATTGGTTTTGTTTTTGATTAATTACACTATGGCTTTCTTTAATCAACGGATTTGGTTCAATAATCCACCTCAAGAAACAATAAATCTTATCCTGATTGAACATTCAATTTCAAACATACAAGGTGGGTACCATTTTAAAATAATATTTTTTATTTAACCATATTTAAAACTGTGTAAAAATCAATGATGTTTTCATCAAGGCCATAGCAGGCATTATTTGTAAAAAGAATTTGAATAAAATTACACTAAAAATACATCACAAAAAAGCAAGAATCATATTACAAAAAAAGGTAATAAAAATAAAAAATAAATTATGTAAAAAAAATCTGTGTATAGTAACATGAAGATTATAATATTATATTACTATTGTAGTTAATAAATTTATTTATTTTTTTTTGTTTTTGATTAATTACACTACAGCTTTCTTTAATCAACGGATTTGGTTCAATAATCCACCTCAAGAAACAATAAATCTTATCCTGATTGAACATTCAATTTCAAACATACAAGGTACCCTTTTAAAATAATATTTTTTATTTAACCATATTTAAACTGTGTAAAAATCAACAGTGTTTTCATCAAGGCCATAGCAGGCACCATTTGTAAAATGAATTTGAATAAAATTACACTAAAAATACATCACAAAAAAGCAAGAATCATATTATAAATAAAGGTAATAAAAATAAAAAATAAATTATTTAAAAAAAAATCTGTTTGTGTATAGTAACATGAAGATTATAATATTATATTACTACTGTAGTTAATAAATTTAAATTATTATAAATTGTAAATTTCTTCAAAAAAATAAAAATTTCAGATTCTAATTTATTAAATTACTATCTTGAAGAATGAGAGGTATGGCAGAATGTTTAATTCTATATGATGCACATACCAGTTCCATGTTGGCCTAGTAAACAAATCCTTACTTAAAAATCATAGACTATAATGGAATAAAACCATCATGTTAAAAACATTAAACAAGTCAAACAGCAAAGCCAATATACTTATATGAATAATTCATGAGATAGTTTCTGGATCATTTGATTTTGTGAGAAGTTTGCGCACAATGTTAATCCCAAGATAATTTTGAAAAACTTGCGTTAGTTTTCCCAAATGGAACCATATGACAATTCTGATCTATCCTGAAGGTGCAATTATCACTTTCCCGTCAGTATCTCTCATTATTATTATCTGCTGCTAAGGGAAGGAACAGGTATTAAAAATGTCTGGCTTGTATCGTAATGTCAAAACAATCATACCCAAACCAAAGTAAAGATATTATCTATCAATATGTTAAGTTAACACTACACACCTAAAAAATAAAATTCAAATATTCAAATAATAATAATAAAATAATAATAACAACAATAATAATAAAATAATAATAAAATGATAATAATAAAAAAATAATAATAAAATAATAATAATTAATAATAACAATAACAATAATAATATAATAACAAAAATAATAATATTATTATTATAAGTTCTATCCCGATTATCAAATTTTTTTTGACAAAAACATGTGTCATGCCTAAATATGGTAATTATGACATCACATTATGACCATATACAGGCACATAATTACTATATATGAGCATACAACATTTTTTTTGAAAGAAAATTTGATAGTGTGGAAAGATGTTTACTTTGTATCTTAAATCACATGATACAACTTGTATTGAGAAACATAGTGATATATAAAAATAAGAATACATGTATTTTTCAGGATTCGAACCCAAAACCTTCTAGTTATCGTCTGTAAGCTCTACCAACTGAGCATATGTAGTTTGTTGTCTTGCACAAACTGAATGTAATCAGAATTGACATAACATGTTACTTTTGAAGTTCTGAACTGTATCCAGATGTTAATCAATATTAATTAAATAATTGGTACTACAAATTTGTTGCTATAATAAGCATGATACATTAAAATTTTGGCAAATCATTTACTGATACCGAATGCTTTAATGTTATCAACACCATATGCTTTGCCGCTGTTTCGTCTTGGGCAGACATGCTTTAATGTAATTAATCTTAACTTTTGTTGGTTTTCTGTGATGTTGTCAATACTTTCATAGTTTCTAATTTTAATTATCATATGAAAATTAAAACATGAAAAAGAAAAATTTTCCTGGCTATCCATTAAATACACTTTACCAAGTATGCTAGGAAGGCAGATTATTAGAACATGAAAAACATGGAATTCTCAGGGGGAGAGAGAGGTCATTACATTTAAAACACCAATAATTGAAAATATGAAAAATAATTTCAATATGCCAAAATAGGATAGAGGACATTTCATTTCATTTTAAATAGATATAAGGATGATCATAATATCACTAGAGAGCCACATTTATCTTTATGTCACATTACTGCTTTTAAATTTATATTTTCTTGGTTGACATTAAATGAAGTTTCAGGTTACTTAAGGGAGTGGTTGAACAATTAATCGCTTGACATATGCCTTATATAGGCTCTCCAGGTTTGCAGTGAACATTCATGCGTAATGCCTATGTGCTCTTGTGCGTCGGTCTGCAGGGTCCCCGACGGTTACTGGTCCCAAAGGGGCCTTAACAATATGGTCTTCAATCTAGCACCCTGACCCAAAAGGGCTTTCTGGATACTGTACAGCATAATGTGTCTCTGACATCAACTGTAGGACATACTGTATATCATATTATATCCAGTGGTGGATTAAGGGGAGGGTGACACCTGGCCTGGGTCAACATTTTTTTAAATGGAGAACTTATATTAAATTTTAAGTCTGTGAGTGACATTTCAAAATTCTTTGATCCACCATCGATATCTTATCATTTTTCGTCCTTAAAAACATTTAGAGACAAAAACATGATTGAAACACGAGCATATCCAAAAATCCACAATTGAATTGGTGACCGGGGCACTAGAGGGGCCCCCGGTCTCTGAGGCCAAAGGGCCCCGGCCCCAGCGTTATTCAACTGACATTCATTAAATAAAATAACGATAAAATTTTAATATACAGGAACATTCTTT